CCAGGCCCTCGCGTGGTCAGGCTCCCAGCCCAGGGCTGCACGCACGCAGTCCCTCCATCGGTGAAGGGGCCACTGCGGTGCCTACGGATTAGGGCCTGGCTCTCCCCCAGATCTGCCTCCGAGTGTTAGTGACGAGAGGCCACCCGCCCTGACTCTTACAAGGTCACACGCTGTGACGGCTAAGACGGAGGTGCGGGGTCTCCCAGACGGCTGGGACGCCCAGGTTACCACTCACTTCCGACAGGATGATCGGCCCCGTCCTGTGACCTTTCTGTGCCTCATTTTCCTCATCTGTAAGTGGGGACAGTAACACCTAATTCACAAGGCTGTTCTGAGGATTGAGTGAGCTCCTATGTGCAAGATCCTAAAAACCATGAACTGGCCCTAGTTCTGCTTTCCAAACAAAGGGCTGGCTGGAGGCGTAGTCCCAAGGCCTTCGGTCCCCGGGAGTGAGAAACGTGGGCTGTGGTTCTCTGGACCCTTCCTGGTCTGAGCTGGTGTCACGGCGTCACGCGCGACAGCCGGTCCCTGGCGAACCTTGTGTCCTGTCTGTCTGTCTGTCTCCCTCCCTCCTGCCGGCACGTTTCCTAAATGTTTCAGCTCCCTGCACTGCTGGCTGAAAAATTCTAACAGGAATTTTTTCAAAGAGCAAGAGTGACCAAGCTCCGCACAGGAGCACTGTAAATGCAAACAGCAGGAACAATGGAAACACGCACCGCGTGACGCGCAGCCTCTAAGGTGCCCCCGGCGGCCCCACCTCCTGGATTCACGGCCTCGTGTCACCTCCTGCCCCTGAGTCACTCGCTTCTGACAAACAGAACAGGAGCCCAGGGTCCCCCCCGTGATTACGTTGCACGAGGTGGTGACCCCGGCTCACCCGCAGGCTGCCTGTCTTGCCGTTTTGACGGGCAAGCTGCCGGCCGTGGTGGGGAGGCCCATGTGCAGACGAGCGAGGGCGGCCCGTCGATGGCCCGCGGGGAGCTGCGCCCTCGGGGATCCGAGTCCTGCCATCGCCCTGTGAGCATGGAAGCGAGCCGTTGCCAGATGAGACCCCGTCCAGGCCAGCATCTTGCTGAAACCCAGCCTCCAGCTAAGGAAGCCGTGAACCTGCCTCTTGAACCCGCATCCTGGCTGTTTCTCGGAAGAGGTTGCAGGACGGAGGGTCTCTGACGGCTTCCTGAGATTTCCTTCATGCATCTTAGCCTCGGCTTTCTACAAGGATTCCCCTCCTTTCATTATCTGACGTGGAGGAGGAATGAATGCTCGCTGACCCCAGTTCTGCCGGGGACTCGCACAGATTGTCACACCGTGTCCCCCCAGCTCGGTTCCGTGGGTGTCACTGTGCCCGACGCACTGACTTTCCCAAAGGGGTTTGCAGGCGCTGCTCCCTCGAAGCGCTCGTGCGAAGGGCCCATGCCCGCAATGTCTGGGCAAGGCCATGTCCCTCTCGTGGTGACTCACTGTGCATGTGAGCCCCCGACGGCCAGAGGCGTCTCAGCAAGGAGCCCTGCCCAGCGCTTCCCACCGTGTGTCCCAGTCCTCATCCGGCTCACGACCCACATCCAAGGAACATTCCACAAAATACGCTTGGGGGAATGCTGGCTTACAGACAATTTTCACACTTGTATTTTTTCGACTTTATCTTGCAAAAAACTTTGTAATGACAGAATGACGTTTTCCATTTCACAGACGAGGGAACAGAATCAGAGGGTCAGGAAACCACCATTAACTGGCGTTTGTCCTTGGGGTGGTGTCTGCAGTGTCTGGGTGTTCACCCCTCCCTCCCTCCCTCCTCTCTTTGCTAACTTCCCGCTGCTCCTCCACCAGGCCACTTTCCCTTCCCACCTTTCACACTGCGCCTCACCCTGTCCCCTCAATCCTGGGTCCTGGCCACCTGTCTTGTCCCTGGGTGCCGGCCTCTCTGTCTGTGCTCTCCCTTTCGCCCACTTCAGCCCCTCTTGCTGGGTGGGCGCCCCACTCACAGAGCCTTAACTCCCCCCGAGCAGCGGGGTGTTCAAGCCCCCCCCCGCCCCTCCCTGGGCTCAGATCCTGAAACACAAATCTCCGACCTCCCGCCCTGGACTCTGTCAGAGCCTCAGGTTCAGGCTCGGCCCTTCCATACCCTTCTTCAAGCCTTCCTTGTCTTTCATGTGACCTTCTTAAGCTGGGTGACGGTGCATCCTGGAAACTGGGAGGCGTCTAAACTCCGCCCTCCCCTTCAGGTGCATCCAAGTCTTCCTCCCACAGCCAGACCATCTCCATCCATCCCCGTCACAGCTGCCTTCTTCCTCCTGAGGCCACTCGCCTGCTCCTCAGTCTGCCTCCCGTGACTGCTGCCTTCTCATCACCACCCCCCGGTCCACCCTTCCCCCCTCTGCTTCCCCCGACAGGGCCCTTCAGACGTTCAAGTCTCGCCCCACAGGCTCTGGAGCACCTTGGCGGGCTTCCTTGCTGTCTCTGTGGCCAGGTCCATGCTCTTCAACACTGAGTGAGAAGTCCTTCCACTCAGCTCCGCCCGCCCTGCTTCCTCTCCCAGCCGTCTGCCTGCCTGTCTGCCCATCTCCCAGGGCCCCGTGGACTCTGTATAAAGTCTCCCTTCCTTCAGCTCAGACTCTCCTGTATCCCTGTCCACTGTGACCTCAACTCATTCTCAGAATTCTGCTGGGCAAGGGGTCAAATGCTGACAAGTAAAGCCTCCAGCCCTGGGGACGGTGTCGGAGACACCATGCAGCACACGTCCAGGATGTCTCTAATGTCCCTCCCTTCTGATTCTGTAAATTCACCCCAGAGGACCAGGCTGGGGAAACAACATATGAAACGTGCTTCAGACCTAGGGATGCCTACCACAGGTTCACTTGTCATAAAGAATGTTCTCGAAAATAAGATAGTGGTCAAGTCAGCGGCTGACTGCCCACCAGCAGGTGCACACGAAAGTGATGAATGTAAATGTAACACAGCCGCCTGGTGCTTGCCCTCAGTTTAAGTGATACGAACAGGGCGGGCAAACTGTTACAAGCTGTCTTACTGTGAATGCAGGTTACAGTGTTACAAAGTGTTAAAGACATAGGGGAAGCACCCTGTGATGCGGCTAGGGCACTGAGGTTACAGGAAGACGTTCTGGTTCTGCTTTCAGTAAGAAATATTCCTCGTAGTTTCTTTATACTGTTTTTTTTTTTTAAGATAGAAGTGTAGTCAATTTCCAATGCTGCGTTAATTTCCGGGGCACAGCAGAGTGATTCAGGTATGCACATGTCTGTCTTTTCATATTCTTTTTCATTATACACCATTACAAGGGATTGAATGTAGTTCCTTCTGTTACCCAGTAGGTTACTGTTTCTAGAATGAAAAAAACATTTTTATTTAATGTCATTCTGAGATTTTGAAATAAATAAATGAAGAATTTTATTCTGCGGCGGTGCTGAGAAGCCCACACCGGAGTAGCAGACTTCCAAAACATTTGGAAAGTTTCCCTGGCCCCCTGCCGCCGTCCCCACCCAACACTGGTGACAGCTGTCACTGCACGGGGGAGGGGAGCCGGGGAGCCAAAAGGACCCCCATGCCCTGAAGCCACACGGCCTTGGCTTACTTCTCTGTGCCTCAGTTTCCTTTTCCATAAGATGCCTATAAAACCGTGCGCATGTCATAGAGCGGTGGTGGGGCTTAACCGTCCTCGCCCAGGAAAGAAGCCCTGAGAAGGGGGCGTGGCCAGGGGCTGTTGTTAGTCACTATCACAGCTCGACTGACGCCTGCGAGCACCCTGACAGTCAGCCTGTAGCCTACTTGCATCTACCTCCTTATGCATAGAAGGCCTCCAAAACATATCGCTGCTGACGCATCGAGCCGAGGGTCCTGGGAAGAACCTAAGGTTCTCCAAAGCACGAGGGGCTCCTATGACCTCCCCAGGGCGGCGGGGGCTGGAGCTGAGACTGGGGCCGCCGGGATCCGGGGAGCAGGGCAGAGGTGACGTTCAGGCCTGCAGCCCTGACCAAGTGCAATCAGGAGCGTTAGATGTGATCTTCTGAGATGTGACCCTGACTCTCGCTGCCTGAGAACAAAGGGTGATCACGGCTCTTGTGTGAGAAGCAGTTTTGTGAGAGGGCAGCTTCCCCAAAGGCCGGCTGATCACTGGCCGAATTTCTGAAATAAACTCCCCGCCTGTGCCCAGTCTCCTTGTTGGGAATGTCCCGGCCTTCAGCTGGGGGTCCCAGCTCCCCCCAATCCCTCTGGGGGGCCGTCGGGATCTCCAGCATCATTCGGGAGCCTCCCCCCACCCCCAGCCCAGCCCCAGGCCTGCGCTCTCCCACATCAACTTCAAAGCCTGGCGACCTGGCTCCTCGCAGAAGTACTCGGAGCAACAATGGACTTGGACCAGGTCTGGGTCGGGCTCCCAGCAGGCGCTCCTTAACCCGGCCACCATTGTGGCCAAAGTCACGCGGCAGCCGCCGAGGAACAATGTGCCTGGCAGTCCCACCGGAGCTTCTAAGCACACTCGCTCCCACCAGCTGTGCCAGGCAGAGGGCCTGGTGGATAAAAACCTCCATTTACTTTTTTCCCTTGCAAAGAATTACACCAAATAAAAAATAATTTCTTTTACCATAAATGCAGTGTAACCACATCAAAGGAAAACTGAACACAAAGGGAAGGGGAGTCCCCCTGTAACCCAGCCTCTCGGTCTCCCCATCTTCTGTTTTCTCTTTTATTTACCTCCGTCGCAGTAAGTGCATAAAAAGGGGCCTCTGCTGCTTGTCTTCCGGAGCAACATCACAGGCAGATTGGGGTGTGTCCTCTTGTCACACGTTGCAATGACTGCAGGCCACGCCCTGCGAGCAGTGCGCCATGACGTGCTCAGACGGCCCTCTCCTTTCCGGAGAAAGCTGTGCTGTTACCGGTGAGGCCGCAATGAGGACGCCTGCACTGTAGCTCGGCTCACTGTGCCAGAGCTCACGCCTCGGTTGGTTTTATTCTGCATTTGGATAATGTGGTCATTTTTATTTTTCTTGTTGTTCAAAATGGAGACTCCAAATTAATTCATTGCCGCTAGAGATGGGTGAGGCTGCAGGGTCCTGGCAAGGGAGATTTTTAAAATATATATATATATTCCCAACATTTTATTATGAAAAATCTCAAACGTACAGAAAAGTTGGACACACTTTGTAACAGGCACCTGTAGACCGATTCAGAGTGACCTCTGAGCACAAACGTACGTCTCTGAAGGTGCGGAGCAGCGATTACCCAGTGGACAGGGAAACGTGTGCCATCTCCCAGCTGCTGCCCCTGGACACGGCAGCCCGGGCACCTTACTGCCATCATGTTTTAGAGCCTTTACCATTTTTCAAGATGCCTTCAGGCCTATTTTCTTACTGGCGCCTCAACATCCTCAAGATACAGCCAAGGCAGGTGCCGCCAGGTGTTCTTGGTGCTTATTCGCTTTTTTTTTTTAATTGAAGTACAGTCAGTTACAATGTGTCAGTTTCTGGTGCACAGCATCATGTCGCGGTCATGCACATACATACGTATATTCATTTCCATATTTTTTCGTTAAAGGTTGTTACAAGATATTGAATATAGTTCTCTGTGCTGTACAGAAGAAACTTAGAAAAAATCCATTTGTATATGCAGTGGCCAACATCTGTAAACCTCAAACTCCCAAGCTTGTTAATGATGGGTTTTCTACGGCCTTTCGGCTCCCTGATTCTGCTTGTCGGTGATTTGGATGTTTTCAGGACGCGAGCGCAGGGGCACGCGCAGTCCGGCCACCAGCAACGCCAACACGAGGACAACCCAGAGCCGTGGAGGGGCTTCAAACCTCCACTGAATCCCCCCCTTTTCTAAAGGCACAATTTATCTCTGTCTGTGAGACAGGGGGCTAATTTAGAGAACAGTTCGACCCCCCCCCCCAAAGTAATTGTGCTCGTGTTCTGGGCTGTCTCTCTCGAGGGAAGAATCTGGATGGTTCTGGATGCAAGAGGCTCGCTCTGGAAAAGTAACCACCAACATCAGCCTCTCCACGTCCCCGCCTGAGACCAGCAAGGAAAAAGTCCCTGCCCACGGCTGGGGTGCGAATCGTCACCAGGGACCGTGGCTTCTCCTGAGCAGCCTCGATGCTCCTGGGTCCATTTCCCACCTTGGGAACAGACTTCAATGCTCAAGAAGGCACCGCGGTGGGAACTGGGGCCTCCTCTGATGTGCAAAGTGCCCGGCGATCTGAGGCGGGAGGGCCCCTCACCCGATCTCACAGGCTGCCTGCGCACCCAGCACACGCTCAGGGCCCCACTTCATGGATGAAGAAGCTGAGCCTGGGAAAGACCGAGAGCTGTGACCATCGTGGCAGAGACCAGCTCATCCTAGAAGTGATCCCCCCGGGGCTGGAGCCCAAACCGGCCGCAAAGGCGATTGTCTTCCACCCACCGCGGGTCCCACCTCGCAGGCACAGGGGAAGCCAGGCCGGCAGAGTTGGGCCCCTCCTGCCTTGTGCTCTTTGGACCCTGGAACCATGCTCATCTTGCACGAACAGAGCTGTCCTGGTCACAGCGGTCCTCTGCCGGCGTGGGGACACAGCCCAGATGTCAGCCCGCAGGTCCAGTGGGCCTGGGAGCTGGAGGAGACGGTGTGAGGCTTGGGGGCAGCTTTCTAGAACTGCTCATCTTTGTCTGCAGACAGAAAAATGCCCTCTGCATGCTCCACAGTAGCCAACCTTACTTTTGTCTTGTTTTGTTTTTTCCCTTCCGTCTCCAGAAGAGCGTCTGTTCGACGTAAAAGATAAAGAGTGAGTTCCGGGGAACCATGGGGGAGCCCTTCCTCAGCGGGGCCGTCTGTTCGTCCTTGCCCTTTGGAAAAATCAATGAGTTTGATTTTTGGACAGTCAGTTCCTTAAGCCTGAAAATATTCATTGGAACACCACGGGCGGACAAAGTCCACCCTCCCAGCCCCCATCGATTTCTCGGAAGCTGGCCAGATGTTGTCGCTATGCTGTAACAGGCCCTGGGGAAGTTCTGGGCTGAGGGCAGCACCCGGGAGCTTGAACGAACCAGCAGGAGTGGCTGCCAATGGGACGCTTATTCTGAGATGAGATTTTTTTTTCTTTAAGGCAACATCCTCTTCTCAGAAACAAAAACAAATCTTATAAAGAAGATGTGGTATATGTACACAATGGAATACTACTCAGCGATAAAAATGAATAAAATAATGCCACTTACAACAACATGGATGGACCTGGAGATCATCATTCTAAGTGAAGTCAGCCAGAAAGAGAAAGAAAAATACTGTATGATATCACTCATATGTGGAATCTAAAAAAAAAAAAAAGAAGGAAAGAAAGGAAAAAGAGGACACTAATGAGCTCATCTACAAAACAGACTCGCAGACACAGTAAACAATCTTGTGGTTACTGGGGAAAGGGGGTGGGAAGGGGTAAATTTGGGAGTTTGAGATTTGCAAAGGTTAACCACTACATATAAAAGTAGATAACAAATTTCTCCTGTACAGCACAGGGAACTATATTCAACATCTTGTAATAACCTTTAATGAAAAAGAATATGAAAACGAGTACGTGTATGTTTTTGCATGACCTGGACATGGCGCTGCACCCCAGAAACTGACACATTGTAACTGACTGCACTTCAAAAACAACAACAAAAGAATCCTGTAACAAAACCCGCCCGGCCAGTAGGAGTCCAGTGAAGGCAGCTCCGTCATTTGGAACTTCATGACTTGTAACTTAACACACTGTCCTCAGTTAAATGATGCAAAACCCCCAAGGGTGTCAGTTGTGGAACCCACAGCTGCGTCGGCCTCCTCCAGGGGCTGGCAGGCTAGGAAGTGCGGTCAGTTCTGACGGAATAAAGGACCTCCCCTCAGGAAGTGAACCGGGAACGCCGGGGTCTGGGGCGTGCGTCTTGAAGGCTCCCCGCAGCCCAGTGCTAACCCGGGGGGTCGGGGGCAGTTTTACTCCTCACGGGGAAGGCTCCCTGGGGCCTGTCTCTGCCTCCTGCATGCTGACTTGCCAGCCTCTTTCCTTCAGCCAACAGCCTCAACTTTGTTCTCAACACATCATTTTCTGCTGTGGCCCAGACATGCCAATGGGACAGCAACATTATTTTGATGAGAATCTGATGTCATCGTGGGGATTACAGGTAAGTAACCTAACAGTTTCTGCTCACCAAGGACTCCAGGGGCAAAGAGGGAAGAAACGAGGAGTTCAGGGGAGGGGGAGGGGACCCGCTTTCACTGCGCTCCTCCTAACCCTCGGGCTTCACGCAGGTTATCGCGGGTGAGTCCACCCAGGAGACAGCCCACTGAGGGTTGTCACCCGACAGACAAAGGAAGGGAGGCTTAGGGAGGCTGACGAAGTTACTCAGGACCTCAAGACTGGAGCCGAAAAGCAAGCAGACGCGGGGGCCAAAGTCTAGAATCTCCACTGACGGCGCCCGCTCTAAACGCGGAGCACCTGCAGCCCTCAGACAGCTCCGAGGCCGCGGGCCGGCCGGGCGAGGCATGCCGCCAGCCACCTGGCGTCGTGGGGGCAGGGAAGCGGGCCTCAAGGAGCCTGGGACAAAGCAGAACCGCACCGCCCAGGGCCTGGCCTCCCTCCCCAGCACGCAGGGCTCCCCTGGCCCAGGGAGACGGGACCGTCTGACGGGGGAGCCTCACAAGCCCCCGGGCCCCGGCCCCCGGCCTTCACCCGGCTATCACGGTATGCAGGGCCGACCTGCTCCCTGCGGCCTGCGCTGGGGCCGGCAGATGGTGTCCAGGCTGGTCCTGTGCCTCCGGCTGACAATCTCCCAGGGACAAGAGTAAACAGAGAGCTCGGGGCACCATATGTCCCTGACTCACCACGCTGACCGCAGCCACCGCGTCCTGCATGGCAGACGCCTTCTGGGCCAAGGGGGGAGGCGGGTGAGAGGAAGCTGCCTTCCAGTCAGAGGCAGGAGGACGCCGACCTGAGCCGTACACGGGGGCCGTGCGTCCGCTGCCAGACCCTCGCCCACGGTTATTTTTAAAACCTGCTCTCTGTCGCTAGACGGCGTTCCACTTCGTCGGCCCCAGCGCAGCCTGGCCGCTGCCGGCCCTCGGGCCCAGTGCAAGGAATCGAAGCATCACCTTCCTGTTCCATCTTCCTTGTTTACCGGTCTGGAATCTCACCCCGGGCTGAGATGGAGCGACCCCAGCTTAGCTGAAAGACCTGTGCGGACTGGGACGTGGCCTCCTGGTCGGATCTCCACTTCTCCTGGCCCCTGAGCCCCCTGAGCAGCAGGGCCGGCGGTCAAGGCTGGAGGCGGGGGTCCTCGCGTGGGCTGCTCAGCGCCGAGGATGCTGCGGTCCTCCCGAGGAGGGGCACCTGGTGCGCACTAGGAAGCTGATGGCTCGTGAAACCTCTGTCACTGTTCCTCAGGAAACCGGAACGATGGGAGTCGTGGTCAAGGCCACAGTCTTCAGCGTAGGGTCAGAGAAGGACTGAGCTGGCGTGAGCTACGACGGGGATGGGGCCCACCTCGGGCCACGTGGTTGGCCATGTCCACGTGAAGTTTTTCTTTTTTGGACCCAGAATATCTTATTTATGGTCAATCTCTGCAAAGGCACGTGGAAGCAACAAACGTACATCTGCTGGCCTTTCAGAATTTGTCTTACATGTTAACAAATCGACTGTGTCACCACAGCAGTAAACTCAACGCACACTGTTCACAGGACACAGGCAGTCCGGGGTCAGAGAATTACCTGTGAGAAGTGCTCTCTGGGAGGAGTCGGGGTGGGGTGGCGAGCATCACCCGAGCCCCTGCCCTGGGCCCCAGGGGTGGGGGCGGCCTTCCACACCGCACGCCTCCAGGCCACAGCTGGATCGCAGGATGGTTAAGAATGATCCAGAGCTTCAATAGCAGACCACACCTTCAGCACTAACTCCCAGGGGCTTCTCAGTGTTCAAGGCTGTTTCTCAGTCCCTGTCCCTTCCAGTTCCAAAAAATGAGGGAGGTGGGTCTTACCGCCCAAGGCCAAAGGAACCATCCCAGGATCGGCTGTGAACTGGACACGGAAGGAACTTGAACTTAGCCCGGCATCTCGGAGAGCTCCGAGGCTCTTTAGAAGTTTGTTCTTAGACAGAAGGGACCTTACAGCTACAGAAGACAGACCGGGGACTTAATGTGGATGCTTAAGGCGCTTTGAAAGCTTCCTGTTCAGGACAGCGGCTGACAGGCAGGACCGGATGAAGCCGCCCTCCGGAAGACGCAGGAGAGCGTCCCCCAGCTCCGTGCTCCTCGCAGCCTCTGGCCCCGCTGGTCCCCGCATGGAGGACACAGCGGGTTCCCGACTTCCATTATGCTTTGTTTTTTTCTATAATCAACTCTGTAGCTTTTCTTTTTCTTTTCTTTTAAGGAGGAAGTAAATCCCTTTTTTTTCAAATTTCCCCAATTATCTGGTTTTTAGTTTTATCTACGGTATTTAAAACATGACTACATTGTGAAAACATGTGTTTTAAAGGGCTACATTCAAACTGTGTCATAGAAGATGTGCTTGTAGGTTTCTGATTTATCAGAGAATCATGTTTAAACAGGTGGTACCTCAAAAGTCATCCGAGTGCAGGCTAACCCTTTCACTTTATCAGTGGAGAAACTGAGGCTCAGAGAGGTTGAAATTTGTTTGGAATTTACCAGCTCAGAGTAGCTGAGCTGGAATTAAAGGCAAATCTTCTGACCCTAAATCCACTGTGTAACTGTTCTTCTAAAGCTAAAATTCCAGCTCAGATTCAGGAACGGTGGTGACACGGGTCCACTTCGGAGTTTGCTGTTTACTCTTTATTTATTTATTTATTATTTAACATTTTTTCTTGAGTTATAGTCATTTTACAATGTTGTGTCAAATTCCAGTGAAGAGCACAATTTCTCACTTATACATGAACATGCATATATTCATTGTCACATTGTTTTTTGCTGTGAGCTACCATAAGATCCTGTATATATTTCCCTGTGCTATACTGTATAATCTTGTTTGTCTATTCTACATTTTGAAATCCCAGTCTGTCCCTTCCCACCCCCCTGCCCTCTTGGAAACCACAAGTTTGTATTCTACGTCTATGAGTCTGTTTCTGTTTTGTATTTATTGGTTTTTTTTTTTTAGATTTCACATGTGAGTGATTCATATAGTATTCTTCTTCCTCTTTCTGGCTTACTTCACTTAGAATGACATTCTCCAGGAGCATCCATGTTGCTGCAAATGGCATTATATTGTCAGTTTTTATGGCTGAGTAGTATTCCATTGTATAAATATACCACTTCTTCTTCATCCAGTCATCTGTTGATGGACATTTAGGCCATTTCCATGTCTTGGCTATTGTAAATAGTGCTGCTATGACCATTGGGGTGCAGCTGTCATCCTGAAGTAGGGTTCCTTCTGGATATATGCCCAGGAGCAGGATTCCTGGGTCATATGGTAA